ACAGAAGATAGCACACATGCATACACACACAAGAATACTAAATGAAATAACCACACAAAGTGAGTATGCGACGGGGCTTCCTGTTCTTTTTATGGTTAGCAAATAACCGATGGAACAAAGTGTGCGTGTGTGCACGATTCAAAATTGAGTCGGATTGTGCCTCATTTTGGCGAGTTAATCAATAAATGGTTGTTACTGGCACCCATACAGTCATTCCGGTCAACCGCGATATGATCTGATTGGTAGAGAGTGGAGAGTGGTAACAGAAACGGTTTTCATGCCAAGTGTTCTGTACTCATATTCGAAATGGGTGAATGGTGAATGTGCCCCACTAAAGGAGCACATCTTCACCCGGGTGCTGCTCAAAATGTATGGCTGAATGGATAAATTGTGCGTGAAGATGAAGTCTGTGAAATTCAGCAATAGGAAGTGCCATTGAGGAAGTCTCCTGAAGCGCCAATTTTGACGGTAATTTTCTATGGAGGTACTTTTTGAAACACTGGGTCCCCTTTATCCATCACATCAAGATCGAAATAAGACATATGTCCGTATCCCATCAAGAAGAGAATGACGATTCTTTCTCATTGTTGGGTTACGAGGCTCTTAGATGGCAAATTACAGTGTTCTGTTCACAGAAAATCAACACGGGGTGGTCAGTATCTATAGTTCTCTAGCTTCCCACGCATAGCTTACAAACGTGGACTCGTAAAAACTCTCTTCCATCGAGCCGGAAACATTTTTCCCCCAGACACACTGCGAGAAGAAGAAGAATTCCTAAAGAAAACGTTGCTACAAAACGGTTACCCCGAAAGATTCATTGATATCCATCGAAAACACTTTTAAGGAGGCAATCCATTTCCAACTGTTCCCCAGAAGGCCGTTTACATCAAACTGTTTTTTAAAGGCGATCACCTTCTGAACGATGCGCGCCAATAGTCAGCTCTGAATCGCAAAATTCCCAACTGCCCAACTTCGACTCTAATCGTGAAATCGATTCGAGCAAACGTGTCCAGGGTTGGCAATTTAGTTCTGTCTCAAACACCGCATACCAGTTCACCTGCAGTTGCGGTGATGCATGCATAGACAGAACCAAATGTCATTTATCACAACGGACAGATTTCAAAGCGGTTGGTGAATCTGAGGACGTAATCCACACCCGATATTCAAACAGTCACACGTAATCCGGGTTCATCAATTGCAAAACACCTCATGACAACCAGACACACAATTGATCCCGTTTCCTCTATCAAACCGTTGTTATGTAACTGTAATGCAAACGGTTGGCAATAAGTGAGGCATTGCTACTCCGACTAAATCATCCCGTTCTGTGTCCCCAAACGTTGTCGATCCAATCAGTTCACTTGCCGTGGAGTTGACCTGTTGTTTTTAATTCGAATAGCTCCTATTTATCAGTTGTACATGCTTGTTCACTAGGATTTACAAATCTACTGTGCTATAAATGTGCTTGTTTGATCTAAGTCAGCGACTGAGAAATGTTAACGCATCTCACGACATACGTGTGTCCTCTTTCGATCTTGATCGAGTTACTGTTGCCGTGGAGAGCGGCGGGGAGGGGAGGGGTGAGGGGAGGAGGAGAGTGCAGCTCATGAGTTCGGTCAAGCTTATGTGGAATAGAATTTATTTTTCCAATAGTCAAACTATCAAATATTATAAGTTTGTCTACTCCAGTTTATATTTACGTGCTCATTACTTCAATCATGAATCAGGACACAATATTTGCCTGCTGATGTGCGTTAGTGAGCTTTCACGGCAGAGGTGTACAACACAATACAGTGCAGTAAAGAACAGTATCCAGTAAGTCCCGGAAATAGGTTACCATAGATATGTTCTGGTCCACCAATTATGAACTGATGAAAGCCTGATTGTTGCACGTCCAATATGACATAAATGTCACCATTCTTGTCAGTTAGGGTTTCGTGGTTTACATTGCAATGGGGCAATCGAAACAGTGACCCCACCCCCACCCCGCAACGGATTTGTTACCTTTCCCCCACTCCCCGCGCGCAGAGTCCCCGTCTCTCAGCGCCCGGTTATTTCACCCACGACCACCACACCTACCCCCACTTAGAATCCACGGATTTCAGGTCATGCATGTTGAACTCACGCGCGATGTTCCTATTGGTCATCAAGGCTAAAATGAGCACCATCGTCTGTCTACTCAATCCAAGGCGCAAACGGACCAATCGGAAATGAGCAGCTCGGTCTTGGCTAACGGGCCCAGAACATGTGCACGCATCTCTCACAAAACTTAGTTCCAAATATGACCGAGACGCAAGCGTTAGAGTGTCGCGGATCGAGATGTGCATTTAGTATTGATGCAATATTACACGGTACTGAACCGATCCAGTCAAGATATTCGACATTCCGAGCACAGGAATCAGTCCGAACGGATCTCATACCAAAAGACGATCTGCCGCAACAGTGCAACTCGACTCGGTACACATGGGTTCCCAACTGGAGTCCAACTATCGAATCCACTTGCCCACATTGGTTACCAACACTGGAATCGGTCCGGAACAGTTTGCAATACCATACGTGGTTTCACGGTAAGTGTGATCACGGGTCTCATTTCTCTTGGTGCAGTGAATTGATAACAGAAAATTAAAACCATACCAGATCAGACTTATTTTGTGAAGTAATTGTAGATAACTGAAGTTTAGGCAATATATATATATATAATGGTGCGTTGTCTGTTCTGTACGCATAGCTTCAAGATCATGACAACTTAACACAATGTTGCGTTTCCGGTGGCTAGAGGAACCCCAAAATAAATTTCTCCATGTTAAGTCCAAACTCCGATCGGGACGCAAATGCACAGTAGTATTGTTAAGAGTCCGTAACTTAACACAACAAATCAGAACACGCAAGAGAATGTGCTGCTTGGGATCGGGTTGACGATCTAATGATCGTGAAAGTGCATCAATCGATTAAACGATGATCTAGAACTAGGTCAAGCTGGCGTACGGACAAAACGGATTGGAAGGGTATTAGTCAGTGTGAGTCATGATCAACTGTGTCACGTGTTTAGACCAGCCATGGGAACGGATAGACGAATGCTTACGTAACATGCAACTTTCGTCCATCTCTTGAAACGGATCATCATAGATGGCGAAGACAACTGAAGACCCTTCAACAGTGCATGGGGCTTGTGAACAACGGAATGGATTATTCCAAATTTATCACTCCTAATTGCTTGAACCATCCGCACAAGGTGGTAACCATCAACCGTGTAGATCGGGCTCGCGCTTCAAGTCCTAACAGGAAAAAGCAGAAACTATGCACTACCGACGAGTACCAAACAGGACGAAAAAGCTGTCTCAGTACTCTATGTCGGTGATCACACAAATCTTTGCATCGCTTCAGAATTGGACAGTCATTTATCTTTTCGCCTGATCCCCCCCCCGTCTGTGTCCACCAGAACTAGTGATATGAAAATGCAGTCTGAAAACCAAATTCCGTCTATTGTGATACCATTTCGGATCCTTTTGTGGTTTTCCACTGCTGCTGGTGGCTCTTGCTAGTTAGAGCAGTGAGGTTGATGGAGACGGGGATCAGCTCCGAGTGTAGTGAGGTTAGCCTCTATAAGCCTACACGCTGACAACTTGTAGCTTCCCTCATTAAGATAGATACCAAATATTGCACTTATGTAAGCCTATGTGAACATCCTTGGCCATCCAACCGATTTATAGAACCATCACCCACGGATCGTTTGAAAGTTCGTATATGCTTTTGTGTTGCCATGCCAGATCAGTTTTGTCTGACACTCAGTGACACTTGTGATGTTGCCGATAATTGCAAATTCGCTTTTGGTGGTAAATCTCTATGGTGGGGAAACTGTTAGGTTGACAGAATGGAGTCACTGTGCCTTCTAATCCAAAACAGATGAACTCGCCGGCATCCCTAATTCTTGTTCGAGGCGGTCATTTAGAAAGACATTCATCCCTGACCCTTAGGTATCCAGTGGAAATTTTTAGTTTACTTAAAACTGAATTTTTATTGAAACGATTACATTGGACGAGGAAAACAAGCCTACAGGATGGTGGAAAAGCGCTCGTACCAAAACCATTTTTCAGTTAAGGAATTTCAAATTTGCGCGGAAGGTACAGTGACGCTAGTCTCAGAAAGTGACAGCAACAGAGAGGAGGGAGCTGTGCGTGTGTTTTTACGTGTGTGTGTGTGTGTGC